CAGAACGCCGCCGCCGGATGCGAGACGGTGCGCGGGGGGAGGGGGGGGGGCGGGAGACGCCTGGAGCCGGAGCCGCCCCGGTGCGCTCCCCGCCGCGGGGAGATGAAAGCAGTCCGCCCCGACGTGTCCGGCGGACCGGGGGTTTGAACCCGGGCTTCCTGGCTCGGAGCCCGGAGTTCTCTTCACGGTGACAAACCCCCGCGTGTCACGTGTGCATGCAGTACTCTGGCTTGTTTGTTCCTCTTTGGGGAAAAAAAGAGATTCCAAGCTCATGAAGTAAGATAACAAGCTACATACCTTTTTCAGTTTTTCCAAGAAGCAGCACCGCTTTAACCTGTTTAGAAAGAGAGACAAAAATAAATCATGGTTCAATTTTTTTTAAACTTAATTATCTTCAGCATTTTTTCGGAGAGATACTTGGCTGTCACCAAAAATGTGGCGATGGATTTGGAAACGACCGTGTCCTCCAGAGAAGCTGGGGGTCTTCCAGAGAATCCCCTTTATTTTTTTACAAGCGATCCATTCCGGAGAGACAACTGTATTGCTTTGGGTGGGGTAAGGGTGGGGAGTCAAGCTTTCTTCTGGAATTTGTATTATTCCACTTCGGGACCCGGGGACCCCAGGCCTTAAAATGGAACTGAGCCTTGACATGTAACGCTTGGGGTTTTTCCACGTCTGGTTTTCTGCTTTGATGGAAGCCACGTGCCGGAGCAAAAAAGGGAGAGGCGGAAAATGTAATCTCAGGGCAAAGCCATTAACCTCGAGTGGAAGAGGTGACAGGCCTACGGGGGCAGGAGGGCAAGGGATCTGAGGCTGGCCGCCCTGGGCCAGGGGGTCGCCAGGAGAGGGAGGAGGTCCCCGCGATGGGCCCCGGGGATGGGGGGCGGCGGTCGCTCTGGCACTTCGGACCTGCCATTTTCCAGGGGATGGGGCGCCCTGCTCCAAGTGGAGTCCTGGACTAAGCCAAACCTCTGATGATCACCACACACAGCACGAAGGCTAACCTGGGGTATCAGGGGCACCCCGAAACTGAACGCCAGCCTCCACCCTGCTCTCCACGCTGCACCAGCTGCCCTGGGGATGCACTGCCCACCCAGGGAGGCACCCACCAAGGCCAGGAGCGAGAGGCGAGCGGTAACCCCGACCCGTCCACACAGCCGGCACCCGCCTCCCGTTTGTGAAGGAGCAGGCTCCAGGCTCCAGAGGCCTGTCTTTTGTGGTGGGCTACACATTCGGCTTGGCTAGGTGGTGCCTCCGCCTGTGGTCCCAGGTGGGGCCCCCGCAGCTGCCGGGCCACGGACCGCACTCCAAATCCAGCAGTTAGATGACCCTCGAGTTGGAGGGAGGCCTGTCCTCGGGCCCATCCTGCTGGGGGCTTGCCCCGGGGAGGGCCGCAGAAGCCGTTGCTCCTGGCCTCACGCCCAGTGCAGGCCAGACTTCCTGAGCTGCGGGTCTGCCGGGGGCGAGGCTGATTCCCTCTGGCTCCGGAGGTCCTCATGGTCTCCCAAGAGCCAGCCCCTCTTCCTTTGCAAACATGAGCTCTTTCCACAAACCAACGGGGGTTTTTTCCCACCTGCACAAAGGGACGTGATTTGCTGCCACTCCTGAGATCAGTCCAGAGACCAGGACTTCTCCCTGCTGGCAGTGCTGACAGTGGCCCCCTGCGGGGGCCGTCCCGGGCACTGGGGGGTGTGGAGCAGAATCCCTGGTCCCTACTCACGCGATGCCAGGAGCAGCCCTAGTCGTGACGACCACATATGTCCCCAGACACTGCCCAGTGTCCTCTGGGGGCAGAACCACCCCCAGGTGAGACCCCTGTCCGAAGGAAGTGCTGGAAGAGACACAGGCCCAGGAGTAAGGCACCCAGTGAGGAGAGAGCCCCTGCCCCAGCCCTCTTCGGCCGGTGGACCCCAACTCCTATTGAAGACGCCCTGGGCCCCTGTGGCCTGGCGGGGAGACAGACCTCCCTGGGTGGGGTGCCGGGGTGGGGGGGTGTCTCACCATCAGCCCCTCCTCCCTGCGGGGGCGGGCCCCTGAGAGTGTGCTGAGCCCGCCTGCGGGCGACAGCAGGCCTGCGTGGGAACCGCGGCGGGGGTGTTATTTAGGGTCGGGCCTCCGGAGCTGCGGAGTCTGTATTCGGGAATTCACCTACTGGCTAGAATTTATTTGTCACCCCAAATTGATACTCGGGGGGGTGCAGGCATCTGGGGACACATGCAGAGCAGTGACACATCTGAGTCACCGACAAGCAGGTTCCCAGCTGCGGTGGAACAGGCGGCTCTCTGCCTTCTAAACCAGGGTCCTTTCCACTATTTAAGACCACTTTTGTTGTTGCTGCTGCATGTTTTGCTTTTTGATGGGTGACTCTGTATCTGAGATGCCCCCCAAGTGCTGGCTGGTGTCCCAAGCCCAAGAAGGCCTTTTGAGGAGAAAGTACACGTGCTACATGAGCTTCGTTCAGGCGGGAGTCATAGCCCCGTGGGCTGTGAGCTCAGCGTCAGTGAATCCACAACATATGTCAACTAAGGTGTCTTTAAACAGAAACTCACATCCTGTGACGTGTTGATCAGTTGACAGAAATGCGCCCAGAGGCTCACGGGAGCATGACTCCACGTGTCCCCAGGAGCAGCGTGTACCATAATTTATATTGTTATTATTAGTATTATGTGTGTATATAGTTGTCCTCTATGGGGTGTTTCAGTTGTTCCAGATTCCTTCCCACCTTTAAAATAATTGTACCACAAAAGTCCACGCACATAAAGCAGACATCCATGCACAGGAAACCGTGTATGCCTCTTTCTTTTTTTCCCTGAAGACGACCTCTGTAGTGTAAACCCTGAATTTAAAGGTATAGAGGACTGGATCCAACTTCCAGCTCAACCTTCAAAAAGACTGCAAAGAGAGGAGGGTGGAGCTCAGCGGCAGAGCGCGTGCTTAGCATGCACGGGGTCCTGGGTTCCACCCTGTCCCTCCATTAAGTAAGTAAATAAATAAGCTTGATTACCTGCCCCCGCCAAAAAAAGGCTAAAGCAGAAAGACTGCAGCCCAGTCCCACTGGCGCCACTGAGGCACCCCCACCAGCCCTGGGAACCAAGCTTTGTGGTTCTTGGGTCCAACACCTGTTACGCAGAGATCATGCCTTTTAAAAGCGTGTACTTCCGTGTCACCACCACCTGCGTCAAGACACAACATTTCCATGACTCCGGAAGGCAGCGCTGGGCCCCCTCCTGGAGGGAGTCACTGTTCCGATGGAACTGTTTATTGCGATGGTCAGCATCATTTTCATTGTCCTCATCAGCCTGACTTTCACTCCTGAAGACGGGAAAGCGGGGACAGAGTCTGACAACAGGACGAGATGTTTAGGTGAGAAGGAAGAACTGCCTAGAAAATTCTAGAAGTTTCTGGGGGAAGACAGCCAGCCTGCATCTGCTCAGAGGGGTGGAGAAGTCAGTCTTCCTGGCCCCAGGTGCAGGGAGGGGACTTTGTGTGAGCTCCAGGCCCTGGCTCGGGGCACTTGACTGGACGTCTGCCCACTGGCTCTCTGAACCTGGATGCCCCGTCTGTAACACAAGGACCCACGGCATCGCTCTGGGGGTCGTGGCGAGGCCCAGAGGAGGCCAACATGGTGGCTTAGCGGTGCCGCGGAAGTCACCCATCGATCTACAGCGACAGTGATAAAGATAACACGACGGATGTAACCTACAACACATAGGCACGCCTCGTTTCGCCGCGCTTTGCAGGTACCGAGGTGTTTTGGGGTTTTTTTTACAGATTGCAGGTTTGTCGCGACACGTTTTGCAAGGAATAAAGGGTGTGCTGCTGTGCACTGAACGCAGAACATGGATCTGGGGACGGGGTCTCCTCCTGGTGGGGATGCGGTGGAGACTACCGAGAGGAGCACAGGGGCTGAGAGCGCGGCCCGGCCCGGAGGACAGAGCCGGCTGTGAAGGGAGCGCCCCGCGGGCACAGTGCCTCCACCAGCCGCCCCGCTGCGGGGGGGGGGGGGGGACGCTGCGAGGGCAGGAGCCGTCCTCGGTAGGTCGGCAGGCTTCACTGCCGCCTGCGAGAACGCGCGGGGTCACCCCATCGGCACCTTGCAGGCGGGGCTCCCCCTCCTCCCCAGCCAAAGCTGACTGGCTGGAGGCTCTGATGATGGCTAGTGTTTCTTAGTAGTGAAGTGGGTTTAAGTAAGGCACGTACTTTTTTAAGAAGATAATGCTACTATTGCGCCTTCAACAGAGTACAGTCTAGTGTGAGCAGAAGTTTTACACTCCCTGGGAAACCGAGTGTCCATGTGACCCGCTTTACTGTGACACTCGCTTTAGTGCAGTGGCCTGGACCCAAGCCCGCAGCGTCCATGAGGTCAGCCCGCACAGCCACACGGAAGGGCCCGGCAGGCAGAAGCGGGCGCTGCCTGGACTGGGGTCGCCTGGGGGGGGTGGGACATCCATCATGTTGGACGGTCAGAAGTTGAAGTTCCCTTTTCTCCTGAGGAAGGGTTCACTGCTTTGCATACCGGTGGCAGGGCCTGCTGCTCTGAAGACACGTGCTCAT